TTGGATTAAACGAAAATTACTATATTTGACGTCATATAAGGAACACTTTTTTTACTAAAAATATATTTTAAAATTCCCCTGCGTCTTATATGCCATATGTAGGTTTGAAATTCGCGATAGTCGGCCGAAATTAACTACCTGACAACTCCTATTAGCTTAGACTAAATCATGAAGGAGCAATAGAACACATAGATGGCAATGCCTGATCACAACCTTACACTTATACGAAGAATAAAAAGACACAGCATTGCGAATGGGTGAAGCAAGCTTGGGATGATATTAGACCAGAAATTGTTGTGAAATCTTTTAAAATGTGTGACATTAGCAATGCTCTTAATGGAACGGAAGATGCCGTATTATTTAACGACAATGATAATAGTATTGAAAATAAGTATCAGAGTTTTGATAACGAAGACGACGAATTTTATGGATTTGAAGATGAATAAAATTTTAATGGTAACTCCACTGTTTTGCTCAATTGTAATAATTGCTTGATTTTTATTCTGTTTTCTTACCTTTGGATATAATAAAGATTTTATAGGCTCGTGTTCTTTTTTTCCTATTATTGTTCGTTTAATTGTCATCATGGCTTGTGTAAACAAAATAATACCTCTTAATTATAGCCTAGACGGTAACATTAACTAATAATTTTACTAATATTACTAATTGCTAATTTTTCTGGATTTTCTGCGTCTTATACACCGTCAAATACGGTACTTACAATATAATACAGATTACTTATAACACATTCCTTCTTGCCATCAATTTTGACGGCACGGTTACACTAGTAACGTTATAATCTCAGAAACCCAAATAAAATAAATGCACTGTTATGAATAATCAAGAGTGGTCTCCCTTTGGTATGCTACTTTCCTCTTTGAGAGAGCTATTTCTGCTTACTGGGACTATAAAAGGACACTATACGCGAACCTTGTATACTCAGTTGAATAAAGTTTTCTTAAGGCCTACACCTGTGTACTTTTGTCATTACAATTTTTCAACTGAGAATACAAGTTTCGCGTATAGTGTCCTTTTATATTCCCAGTAAAGAGAAATAGCTCTCTCAAAGAAGAGAGTAACAAAACAAGGGGAGGCCATTCTTGATTATTCATAACATGCACTTTGTCGAGTTATTATATCCCAGTACAATGGAATCAACACCTCGTTTTATTTTTCGGCGTTACGACGAATATGTTATTGATGGAATATTTAACTGATTAGAAGTTGCCATCACTTATTCGGCTTTTATTTTCCCTGAATCTGTCATTAATCAACGTCGCAGCATAATTTTGTCAGCAAAGATTCAATAAGTGTTTGATAAGCATTCTTTTCATTCTTGTTTTTTTAATAGTTTACGCTTGCCTTCATGTTTAATTCTTATTTAAATCCACTCAATCCTCTGTATCCGATTTCGACACACTCACGACAGCGTCTTTTATTGAAGCTTTTGCGTTAAAGCTTTTCTGTAGGTGCCAACCTTAGTTAAGTACAAATTCCTAAGCTTACTTAAGGGAATTCTTCACTTATAGACCAAAGTTTTCTAAAGTGATCTCTGCTTAGCTCCAGGACCACATAACTGTGGTCGAGCGATTTCTCAAAACATTCTATTGTTTAATTCATGCAATTCAGAAACACTGAGGTACCAAGAAAAAAGGATAACTATATTTTTTTATATCAATTCCCCCCAAATAAGACAATAAAGTCACTAAGACGCAAGGGCTTATTGAGTCAGAGAGGATATGAAAAAAAGAAAATCAAAGTTAAGACAAGAAACCGGAAGTGAGTTCCAGAGCGAAAGTTGTGAGAAAAGAAACTGTTAGCATAGAACTTACGGTTACATCTAACAATTTCAAATATAAAATAATGTGACCTTGGCCGCCAAACTAGTACTGCACTTAAATTCGTAAACGTAGGTATCAAAGTCAAAAGCTCATCAGAACAATTACCATGAAAATATTCATAGAAAAAGCACAGAGATGCTACGTTACAATAATGGGAGAGTGATTGAAGTCATTATGCCACGTCAGAACTGATTCTTATGCGTATTTATTAAGACTCTCTAAATACATAACAGGATCGCCAGACCAGACGCGACAGTAATATTTAAAGCATGGGCGAATGGTAGACTCTTAAAAATGATCTAACTCAACACAGGGAATCAACTTTCCTAGCAGAAGACCTAGTAAATGGCGCAATACGATCTTTCCAATTCATGACAGAGGAAAACGGTAGCCCGGAGAGGTGCAATGAGTAGTTTCCTGGGGTTTGGCATCAGCCATGTTGTAGGAAGAGAAATATTCTCTAAGACGTGAGCAGTTTCGTTTTGCAGGTGTTCAAATTAATAAGCCATTGCTTGCCCCAGTTAACAACTGATTGTCGGTCATTATTTACAGCAGATGCCAATTTGAATTTATTGAACCGATCAGATTTGCCATCAAGACTGGAGTAAACAGTTGCAATTTATTTTAATCAATTTATTCCAAGTAAGGCCATGAAGCAACTAAGATGCAAGGAGTTACTAAGCGAGAGAAAATATGAGAAAAAGAAAACATTAAGGATAGAGAATTATAAAAAAACAGGAATTAAGAAGATAGAAGATAATGAGTGACAATGCATTTAAATTTTTGAAGATCCATATTGACTACGAAGCGAGAAGCTGGAAGAGAACTCCACAAGTGCGAGCGAAGAAACTGTTAGCATAGGACTTGCGGTTACATCTTGCCGTTTCAGCTGTAAAATGATGATTATCAGCTATGAATTTGCATGGCTTCTTGAGAAAATCATTGGTATGCTTTCCTTTTGCCTTCTCCACAGTTTGCAATTCAGAGAGGAGAAACATTGCTCAACTTAATTTTTGTAAGAAAATGAGTAAAAAATGCATTGTTATAATATTTCTATAATATTTCTATAATATCCCATAATGCCCCATGTATCATATTCTGTAGGTATCAGCTGAAATAACTATAGGCTAAATGCAGAAAAGGATTTGAGTCTATAGGTTACACCGATTGGACACAATTGATTTTGATTTTTTTTTTTTTTTTTTGCTTTGTTTGTTTAACGGCATATCATCTCATTCATTGGTCATTTAATGCCGAAATTTAATGTTCTTGTAATCTATGAAGTGATAAAAATACGATATATGTTATTTTGTTTTCACAGTTGAGTGCATGGTAGATGATACTCAGATTTTTATACGTATACATGTTTCTGTTGACATAATAATTAGAGGCGGTGATATGTGTTTTATGTTGTAGTTTTCTGAAGTTATATTTTGAATACAATTTAATTTCTTTAACCCTTTTAGTCCTGCGTTCCTGAACAATTTAAAACTTTCTGCCTGAGCTCCTGAGTCAAAATTCGCTAATAATTGGTATATAATGTTTCACGGTAGATATATAAATAGTTACAAGTGTTTACCCACCGTTCAACCGTTGGCTGGGCATTACGTCATTTTCTCTACCACCGTTCAACTGATGGCTGGGCATTACGTCATTTTCTCTACCACTGTTCAACCGGTGGATGGGCATTACCATTTTTTTCTACCACCGTTTTGCATTTTGGTATGACGTCATTTTCTACCACCGTTCAACCGGTGGCTGGGCATTACGTCATTTTCTCTACCAATTCATTTGGACTGGGCGATAAGAAATTGTTTTCTCTACTAGTGATTTTCCAAGCATAGATGCATAGATTAACAGTGCTCATATTGCAATTTTTGCATGTTTCTAATCTCCTGAGCAGACCAGGCATAGACATGAATACAATATGGAAACCAGTAATGAAGACTGCCAGAGAAAAGCGATAATAACAACAAAAATTGCAATATGAGCTCTGGTAAAACATTAAATGATAACAGCAAAAATTGCAATATGAGCACTTGAAAAAATGGTTGCTGAAGACATTAGGTTTATAATACCTAGAAATTCATACAAAATTTGTCAAGGACACATGGCACATTGGATAAAAAACGTTGGTTAGATGCAAGTGACAGGACCCAAAGAGTCAAAGTTCAATACCCGGTTAAGGCAGAACTTACACGTGGAACTAGAACAAAAGCAAAATAAAATGGTTCAGTTCGACATTCCAACCACCTAAGAACAAAGGTTTGAACGTCCGAAACGTTGTCATAAATATGGCGACAAAGAACGGTCCATTTAACATAGGTATTCTAATACATAGGTATGTGCTACTTGAGGCAGAGATGGAACCTACGATACGCAAAAAAAAAAAATTTTATCAAACTTTCCCATATACTCATGATTACTAAAAGTTACCAAGTGCGACAGACACTTTGGGAAGGTCGGGGAGAAACACTGGGATGAAAGAATAAAAAATGAGGAAATGTGTCCGAAGGAATCAATGCATGGTATCAAATATAAATTGTAGCCATATTTTATCACCCGTCCGCAGGAATTTCCAATCTGTAAATATAAATTGCACCGATGGTAATCTCCTTGGTGTCTCGGCGCTAAAAGTATTTCTCACAATTATTTAAATTCTTTTTGTTCCTACTTTTTTCCTCTTTAATAGATTCGGTGATATTTTAAGGGCAATCACTAATTCAGTAAATGAATTATGGTTGGTCTGTTTAAAACAAAATGGCGGGACGAGTCAGGTGACGGCCATATATCATTCGCCATTTTTGACCGGGAAAACGATGAACTGAAATTTGATAATACGGTTTTAATTAAAAATAGTCTCTGCGTCCGAAAAAGAAAAAAAAAGCATTAAATAACTAAAAATAGGTGCCGGGCTTATTATCAAAATGAGTTAATCTAAACCGAGTGGGTTATGCCAAGTCGAAAGTTATTACATTTTGGGGCTTCATTCCTTTTTTTCTTCCCTTCTTTCAAGTTCTTTTGTCACAGAGATTTTACTTCTTTCTTTCCTTTTTTTGCTATTCCATTCTTTCTTTTCTTTGTTGCTTTCATTCCGCTCTTTTTTTTAATAATTTTCATTTGTTCTTTTTTCGTTGTCCGTTCTTTCTTTCTTTTTTTATGCTCCCTTTCTTTCTTTATGGCTCTCTTTCTTTCCATCTTTTCTTTTTACTCATTTTCATTTTTTTCTTTTTTTTCGTTGTCCCTTCTTTCCTTCTTTCTTCCTTCCTTCCTTTCTTTTTATCTTTCTTTTTTTTTATTGCTTTCTTTCTTTCCACTCTTCTCTTTTTAATAATTTTCCATGGTTCTTTTTTTCGTTCTCCGTTGTTTTCTTTCTTTCTTTATTTATTTCTTTCTTTTCTTTTCTTTTCCTTTCTTTCTTTCTTTCTTTCTTTTTTCTTTTCTTTCTTTACGGCTTTCTTTCTTTCCACTCTTTTCTTTCTAATAATTTTCATTTATTCTTTTTTTCGTTATCCGTTCTTTCTTTCTTTCTTTCTTTCTTTCTTTCTTTCTTTCTTTCTTTTAATTTTTTTCTTTTTTATAACTTTCTTTCTTTCCTCTCTTTTCTTTTTAACGATTTTACTTTGTTTTGTTTTTTGTTGTCCGTTCTTTCTTTTTTTTTCTTTTTTTCTTTCTTTTCTTTCTTTCCTTTTTCTTTCTTTCTTTTTTCTTTCTTTCTTTAAACTGTTGTTTTTTTCTACAGTTTTTCTTAATTCTTTTCTTTTTAATTGTTCTTTCTTTCTTCCTTTTTCCACTCTTGCATTTTCAATGCATTTTCTTCGCTTCTTTTTCCTTTTTAGTTGTTCCTTTTTTTCTTTCTTTCTTTCTTCCTTCCTTTCATTCTTTCTTTATTTCTTTCTTTCCACTGGGGTCTTTTCAACAGTTTTCCTTGGTTCTTTTCTTTTTAGTTCTTTCTTTCTTTTTTTTCTTTTTTTTTTGCTGAATGTTTTTCTTTGTTTCTTTTTTTATTTTTGTCTTTCTTTGTTTCTTTGTTTCTTTCTTTCTATGATATTTCACCGATTTCATTTTCTTCATGTCTTCAGTAATTCCTTCTCTTTCTTTCCACTATTTATTCATTTTTTTCTTTATCTTTTCTTTCACCTCCATTTTTCTTTTTTTTTTTCGTATTGTCCATTATATTTTAATATAGGTCCTTGTCTTTCTTTTTCTGCCACCCTTGTCGATGTTTCTGACGGGGTGGGGGTCTGCGTTGATTTACAACCAAGATTACGGAAAGATATATATCATGCAAAAACTTAATTAGATACTGATATCCACTTGGTATATACACACAAATCTTTTTCATTTCTACTTCGTATTAATCGCCTTGTGAGGGTTGGAGAAGGGAAGTTCGTAATAGACGATGATTTGAACTTAATTATTATCGCACCGATATCAACCATAAGAACGTATAAATGGTAATGCTAATGATAATATTAGCCGTTTCCCTATAAGGAAACATTCGGCATTCATTGACCGAGCAGCCAGTGTTGCTGTCGGTTTAAATTTATAAAATGTTTGTCTGAAAACGATTTTTCAAGAAAATAGTTTACTTAAGTTCAGTCGCTGTTATGTTTTTTCTTTCCAGTATTCATGGGGTTTCCTTCCTAACTATTTGTTTCAAGTTGTGTGGAACTCCAACATCTGGATTATATCATTGTTTTCTTTTCGAGTTACACGTGATATCCATTTTAGTTGTTGCCGCTGTTGAAACTCCTCAAGTGACGTGGTTTCTGTTATTTGGTTCAGTTATTTGTTTGTGATTCTGTAACACCAGTCCATTAAGCTCCAAGAAGGATGATCTTTGCCAAGACACTCAGGCTTCATTATTTTCTCTTTGACTTACATGTGATATCCATTTTAGTTGTTACTGCTGTTGAAAGCCCTCAAGTGATGTGATGTCTGTTATTTGGTAAAGTTCTTTGTTTGTGGTTCATTTGCCTCAGTCCACAAGGTTAAAAGAGGGATGATCTTTCTCAAGACACTCAGGCTTCATTATTTTCTCTTTGAGTTACACGTTATATCCATTTTAGTTGTTGCCGCTGTTGAAATTCCCCAAGTGATGTGGTTTCTGCTATTTTTTTTTTTTTTTTAAGCATTACGCCCCAAGCAAGGCGTGAAGCCACTAGGATGCAGGGGGTTGCGGAAGATTTGGAGCGAGAGCAGATAGGGAGTGATAGATGAAAAAAATGAGGAGAAGGATATAGGGTAGATCAAGGTAACTGGAGATGTCGATTGACATTACATTTGAATAGTTGGAGATTATAGCTCTCAGGGAAACAGTAATTGGGAAGGGTGTTCCCTGGGTGAGAGGTGCGATGTATGAAGCTATTGGAGTAGAAGAGACATTTACATTTAAAGTTTCGACAGTGAAAGGGTGGGGAGCGGATTGCAGCCTCGTAGGGCGCTTGAATTCATGGAGTCTGGGAACCAGTGAAAGCAGCTCATCAGAGCAGTTACCATGGAAGTATTTGTAGAAAAGACAGAGAGAGGCGACGGCGCGTCTGTGAGAGAGTGACTGCAGACGAGACACAGTTCTTTGTTTGTGATTCTGTACCACCAGTTTACGGGGTTCGAACAAGGACTGTCCTCTCCAAAACCTACTTGCATTTTTTTCCATTTCCGTAAGAGACTGTAATAGTGTCCCAAGCGCTGTCAGTCACTTCTTTAACCATTTACAAAGGGTTTGTTGTTAAGGATTGTTAATTTATTTTGATGGTTGTCTGCTTAAGATGCCGCTGGATACATCTTTCCCTGCGCAAGTTTCGGATTCCCAGATCGAAACTGCTTACCATTCTGTTTCTTTAACCTATTATGAACTTGGTATTCATGTTTCCCGTGATGACAGTGATCATCTGTAATTTACATTGAGCTTTGAGGTTGTCCATTGAGCTGTAAAAGTTACCAATTTTTTTCTTCATGCTCAGCACTGTCAGGGCGTATACAACAATTATTAACAGTTATTGATTATATCATTATTTTGTTGCTGCTGTTGATCACCCTCAAGTGATGTGGTTTCTGTTATTTGATACAGTTCTTTGTTTGTGATTCAGTTGCACCAGTTCACAAAGTTCAAAGAAGGATGATCTTTCCCAAGACACTCAGGATTCATTATTTTCTCTTTGAGTTACATGTACTATCCATTTTAGTTGTTGCCGCTACTGGCAGTCTTCTAGCTCTGGGCTTTCTGTTATTTCATACAGTGCAATGTTTGTGATTCTTTAGCATCAATCCACAATGTTTGAAGAAGGATAGTCTTAACCAAGACCCACAGGGTTCACTCGCTATATATTTAGAGACTTTTCATAAAATATTAAGTAGAATCTGCAACGTTACTGGCTTTGACCTGGCATCTTGGCTACAATCATTTTCAGACCGTCTTAACGTAGCTTCCCTGTGCCTATTGTATAAATACTTTCATGGTAATTGGTCTGATGAACTTTTCCCTATAGTAGCAAGACTTCACAAATTTAAGCACCGTACTTGATTGGCGGCAAGGTCTCATCACTAGATATTTCCTAACAGTTTTTTCTCTCGCACTTCTCGCTTGTGGAATTCACTTCCGGCTTCTCGCTTTACACTCAACTTTGATCATCAAAAATTAAAATGTCATGTCAATAATTATTTATTGTCTTCTTGATTCCTTTATTTTCATTGTTATCTCTCCTTAATAATATTTTTCTTTTTCTTATTGTTTCACACTCAGTAACCGCTTGTGTCTTAGTAGCTTTATTGCCTTGTTTGAGTGAAATGATCAATATATATATATATATATATATATATATATATATATATATATATATATGGAGTCGGCGCATAAGTATCAGGCGTTTTTAAAACAGTATGTATTATTAAAAAGAAATATAAAAATTCAACAATAACCTTTTTAAATGATTATTCGGGAGTGTATGATTATCGACGCGCATTTTTCATTAAAAAAATTGAACAAAGCAGCAATATTTACTAACAAATACCTTGCTTACAACTACGCCTGATACGTATGCACCAACCCATATATATATATATATATATATATATATATATATATATATATAATTAAAATTAACTGATTTAAAATATGTTTTTTCGCTACACAATAATAACCATATTTTAAATCAATTTTATTTATAATATTAATGCTCTGTAAATTTACATTGAGCACTATTTTGTAAAAAATAAAAAGGACCAATAAAACACCGAATTATATATCTTACTGTTCTTTCTTTTTATTTAGATATACATACATACATACATACATATATATATATATATATATATATATATATATATATATATATATATATATATATATATATATAAAAAAAATATATATATATATATTAATGCCTATAATTAACTGGTGTGAAAAAACCCGGATAGTATAATTTGCAAAAAAAAAATTATTTAAACAAACTGGTGTCAGGGATAAACAAAAAAATATCAGTAAAAAAAGAAACTAAATCATCCTTGTTGATTAAAAAAAAAATCACCCAACACCGCAATGTCTTGCCAAAAGAAAAAATCGCCAATCGAGTCAATGAGGAAAAACGTAAAGACACTAAGTAGAGCAAAGTATAAAAACCTAATCAGCTAGAATCTACCTATCAAGGTTTCACCTAACGGATCTTCAAGGTATAACTGGCTAAAGAAAATAGATTAAAGCGACATATTTATAGGTAAAAACAGCCACCGTAAACTAAAATCAACATAAAACCATAAAAAGATAAAATAGCATTAGAAAAAAAAAATGCACTATTCTTTTACTCCAGTAACTAGGCTTTCTTATGTCTACCCCCCGTTGTGTATTTACGATATTTGGTTTGGACATGTCGGGATTACTAAAAATAGTTATGGCTAATTTTTTTTTTCCTCCATGCATTGGACAAAATAACAAATATCATCTTTCGCGGTGGATATCTTTGTCTCAATCTCCTAATCACTCTGAGGATGGCTCATGAAAGTCGAAAGCTAAACGCAATCATCAGGCCTGACCGTTACGTAAATTGAATTTTAAAAATATATATGTTTGCCGCAATGCTGGCACAGTTAAGTATTATATATAGTGCGATCATAGTTTTATCAAAAATTATATCACTTCACAAAACTTTTTTAAAAATTTAAAATTTACAAAGAAAATTAAAATTTATTTCTCAAAACATTATATTTGGCAATTAAAATAACCATGACTAGAGAAGGAAATTACTGGAAAGTAATTGAAACTCACCTGAAGCGTGCTGAATGTGTAATGCTCCTCATGCCAATGACACTTCCACCGAGCTTCACTACAGCATATGACTTCACTGAATTTGATGTATTCCTCTCGAATTTTAAACTGGGGTCATCAGGAGAGAATGTGCACCGTTTCGGAGACTAGCATATGAACATAAAATATTTGTAATTATAATTATTTTTTATAGAGTAGTGGATCAATTATTTAATTAAATGTGCTTAATTAATCTTATTTTTCAAAAATAGTAATACGGAAATTATATATGTAATACTGAAATTATATATGTAATACTGAAATTATATATATATATATATATATATATATATATATATATATATATATATAATTTTTATAAACTGTTACATAGGAACATTACCACGACAAAAATGCATATTTGTTTCGATGTTTAATTTAGACAATTTCAGGTGGTTAACGCTGGTGGTAAGAAATGATTTTATTTAAAAATACAATGTATGAAACATCACTTCTTTTTAAATTTTTGAAGATTTTTCAAGGCAATGAAACAAATATATAAAAAAAATTCCAAGGAAAAAAAAAGGCAAATTAAAAAAGGAAGAGAATATCAATATATATATATATATATATATATTATATATCTATCTCTATATATTGCTCTATCTCTGATATTGAGCGCTTTCTAATAAGTACCGCGCATATAATATATAAATAATTATATATATATATATATATATATATATTCATATTTATACACACAAACTTTTCACACACATATATATATATTTATATACATATATATATTTATTAAAAAAATATTTTATGTTTAACGTTGTATATTTATATATATATACAATTTATTTAAGCAAATATATATATTTGTTTATGATATAATATGTGTATTAAATTTATTTACCGGCCTGAATGTCCGAAAAATTTCATAATGAAAATATTCGTTCTTGAACAAAATTCAAACCTGCATCCATTACGGGAACCGTCATATACGCTAAAAATAAAATTAAAATGCCGCTTTTACTTCAACCCATTAAGAAGTTATGGTGACCTTGAGTTCCAGCAAATTTAAAACTGTTTATAAACTTCAAAACGATCCTGAAAAATCTCGTAAGCAATCAACAGCGTATAAAAAAATGAATTTTGGTAAATTTATTGATTATATAAAATAACTTTTCGGAAATTTGAAAAAAATTAAGCACAACAAAATTTCTCTCATAGATATTGAAATACAAAAAAAAAAGAAACATATATTCATCAAAAGAGCCTTAGGTGTATGCTAAACACCAAGTTACAGGATTTCATACCAGTCATAAATGTTTTGCAAGGGGCCAAAAACACCCAGCATAAAGAAACTGGTCAGTCGCAATCAACTGCACTAGTCAGGCCATCTCAGGTGGGTGGAAGATGAGACGTTTCCTAAGTTTTACGCTGATCCCTAGTCACAGACCCACGAAACGTCTCAATGATGTTGTTAAAGACAACCTGAAATTTTTTTTAAATTTGTGTCAAAGACTGGGAAAAGAAGGCAGAGAATTGCTTTGGTTGGAGACAGTTTTTGATGACTGCAACCGTTTTGAGGTGAAAAGGGTTAAGCATTTGAAATTGAAAACGGCTCTTAGGAAAAGTGTGTAGAATCGACCCCAGAAGATATTCAATCTGAGCTTGGATGTGACATATGCGGGGAGGTTGTTCTATCTCGTGCCGGATTTGCTAGTCATTGAAGATCGTATAAAAAGCGGCAGTCTAATGCCGATTGTTTGAATGTCTTTCGTGGCAGAGCTACAGAATATTTATGTCAGTTTTGTGCACGTTTGATGCCGGGCACCCGCCACCCGCGCCATGAGGCCTGGTATTGTCGTGGAGGAACAGTACATTCTTATGATTAACCAAAGCTGGCTCCTTCAGCTTCAGCGCTTATTGCACATGTTCCTAATGCTGCGTGTACACGTCCGCAGTGATGGTTTGGTCCGTTGGTAGCAGCTCATAGAGCCCCACTTGTCAACTCTACAGAGCATAATCTTGCGTGGGAGTAGAAGGGGTCTTGTGGTGTGTGGCACAGTAATCTGTGAGCACTCAATCAAATATGAATAAGTTATGGTTCCGAGAAAACTTGCTATCACTCGTGGTTTCCGACAGGGTTTAAGATACCCACTTTTTTAATTTGTACTCCTACCTTATGCCCTACAGGTGAAGTCTGGGTGTTTCATCAAAAATGTGGGTGCTTTCAGGAAGCTCAGCACAGGTGTGCCTGTTGTACTCTTCTATGGCCGTCTTCAGGACCTCATCATCCAGGACATGTGGCTGGCTAGTGCGGGGTTCATTACAAAGGTACAGATCTGCCGGGCCTGGCGGTGCGCTTGACATATTCGGCGACTTGATGAGGATGCGGACCAATCTTAAAATCATAAATCAGACAACCCTAAACGAGCTGCTTTTACATCGCAATGTTTCCTCGTCGCTGATTGGGCTATGACTGATGTGTGTGCGGAACACACCTGCATAGGTACTATTCCCCAACCCCAAGCCACCGCTTAGCCAATACATGAAGAATTAATTTACGTATCAGTGATCACTTCTTCCTACACGACGTACAAAAGGGCAAGACTTTTTTGGTTACCTTATACCTGATTTCTTTGTTATAATCTATCGATACAATAATCAGATGAGACCAAAAATTCAGTTCTGATGCCATATCTGAGCTGGAGTTAACAAATCCTTAATTTCCAGCCTTGTTTCTTGAAGACTATTTTCTCCCGCCAACCTTTTGACCCAGACTGTATTAATATTTTGATGGTAAAACTTCACACGAACTACTTTCCTTCGTTCGAGCAATTCAGACTTTTAAAGCTGGGGTCAGTCATGTCACATATACAGGGTTAACCCAGAGAAGAAACTTCGCTGCTCCATCAATATTTCTATTCTAACAGTTCACACGAGCTACTTTCCTTCGTTTGTGTAGTTCAGACCTTTAAAACTGGGGCCCGTCATGTCACATATACAGGATTAAACGATCCACATTTCTTTCGTATTTCTCTGGTTAGGAAGATGTCCAACTTGGATAGTTTCTTGACGAGCACTGTTACTGTGGGAGGAAGTGATACCGATCACTATACTATTAATCTCTTCAAGTCTAAATTCAATATATCTGCATAATCTGCAATTACTTTCTCCTCTTAGATCAATACAAAAATCTCATCTAGTATTCCTCTACCTTGAGTTGCACTTAGGCCTTATACTGGGTGAACATTCAATAAAAAATATATTCCTTGTTTTTTTTTCGTTTTCTTATCAATGTTGTTGATTACATGCAATGTGTGTTTTGTTATCATTTTCAAGGAGTCTTCGAATATCTTTAGTTTTTCTACGTCACGAAACAGAAGGTAGTTTGTGTAGACTATACGATGCCAAGATACCGTATATAAAATAATATTATAATAATAATAATCTGAAATAATAAGAAATAATACGAACAGCATCAAGAAAATATTCCCGGGAAAAATTGGCTCTATTAATATGCTTACACAATATGCTTTCTTGTTTTAACTCAAAAACAGGGAATTATAGCCTTACATCAGACGGTTGCAAATGGTAATTGTTACTTCAAAAGATATTTCCGGATAATAGAAAAGCAGAAGAGCAATTTTTCTCCATGATTATTTTTTTCTTTTTACGTAAAGCTAAAAAATAATTTGAATGTAATTAACAGACAAAATTACAATTCTTTACGATTCTACGTTGTGGCAATAAGTATTCAATACCCGCCAACTTTAACTGTTTACATACAGTCTACTATCTATATCGCCCTGTGCGGTGTAGTCTCCACTGGCCACCGTGACAGAGGGGCACCAAAGAAGCGTTATAAGGACCCCCTCAAGAAGTCCCTTGGTACCTGCCACATTGACCATCGCCATTGGTCGACATATGCTACTGACCGTCAAGCCTGACGCCGCACCGTCCACCAGGCCGTTTCCACCTCTGTGGACTCTCGCAGGGCCAACCTGAAGGAGAAACGCCGTAGGTGTAAGGACCAAGAGGAAGAACCTGAGCAGCTATACCAGACCAGAGCTTTAATTGCAGTCGCTGCGGTCGGACTTGCCTGTCCTACAACTGCCTAGTCGGCCATCAGCGTGCCTGCAGTTGACGTGGACAACCCACTTCATAAATCTTCGTTCGCGAAGCGAGGCCAAGAAGATTATCTATATCTATTTCGAAATTACACCACATCCTTATAATTTTTATATGAGCAAAAAGTTGGGCTGAAAATGTTCATAGGCTGACTATGAAACGTGATTCTAGAGCAGTGAAATATTGCATGAATTTATTTCATCTCTCCTTATTAATAACTGCATTGTTTCTTTCCAGGTGAACTGAGATCCGATTTTTCAAAAACTGTTTAAAAAAGTCATCAGCAACATATATGTCGTTATTATATTAGTATTACTGCAATACTGTTTCCCAGTCAAGTGTTCTTTTAATGTTGGGGAACTGATGATAGTCAAATCGGGAGAATAGAGAGAGTGATCAATCAGTTCAAAGCCACAATCATGCACATTAGCCATTGAAACCAAGGACGTGTGTGGTGGAATTTTGTCCTAATGAAACAAGACGCCTTTCGTCAATTTTCTAGGGCGTTTGGTCATGAAAGCCTTTCGTAATTCTCTCGAGATTTTGACATAGTACTCTCCAACGATGGCGTGTCCCTTTTAAAGATAGTTAACAAACCCAATGCCTATTGAATCCCAAAACACTGTGGCCATCACCTTCGCTGCAGATGAAACGTTCTTGAACTTCTTTGAGGCAGGTGAGGTGGAATGTTTCCACTGCATGGATTGTCTCTTTGCCTTTGGCTCAAAACATTCTTCTTCTTCTCCTTCCTCCTCATCCTCTACCTCTTCTTCTTCTTCCTCCTCCTCCTCCTCTTCTTCTTCTTCTTCCTCCTCCTCCTCTTCTTCTTCTTCTTCTTCTTACTCATTCTCCTCTTCTTCTTATTCCTCCTCCTCCTCTTCGTTTTTTTGTTTCTCCTCCTCCCCTTCTTCTCATCCCTTCTTATTATTATTATTTCTCCTCCTCTTCTTCTTCTTATTCCCCCTCCTCCTCTTTTTCTTCTTATTCTCCTCCTTATTCCTCTTCTTATTCTTCCTACTCTTCCTCTTCTCTTATTCCTCCTCCTCCTTTTCTTTTTTTTTTTTTGCTTTTTCTTTTTCCTACTCCCCTCCTCTTCTTCTTTTTCCTCCTCCTCCACTTCTACTTCTTCTTCTTCTTCTTCTTTTTCCTCCTCCTCCTCCTCCTCTTATTTTTATTACTCTTCTTCCTCCTCCTCTTCTTATTTTTATTCCTCCTCCTCTTCTTCTTATTTCTCCTCCTCGTCCTTTTCTCATTCCTTCTCATTATTATTATTTCTCCTGCTCCTCTTCTTTGTATTCCTCCTCCTCTTTTTCTTCTCCTTCTTCTTATTCTTCCTACACTTCCTCTTCTTCTTATTCCTCCCGCTCCTCCTCCTCTTCTTCTTCTTCTTCTTCTTCTTCTTCTTCTTCTTCTATGTGCCTTCTCCCATCAGGGCATGGGTGGATATGGCTCTACACAACATGCTAACTTTCTAGCTCTGTTGCGGCTTTGAATCAACCCGCAGCAATGAAAAAGTCGAGAAAGTTTTTTTTAAATATAAAATATATTTATCTTCGTGTTTTTACAACTAATTTTTTTCTCAGCATATATGAGTTTTAAAGTTCTTGTGTTAAAGTTACTTGTTTGTAGTTGGTTGTTAAGATGAGAATAAATGAGATTTATTCGCGTGTACGTGTGAGAAAAAGAGAGGCGTGGATGAAAGGGAGAAGGTAAGTGTAAGTCTCACGTAGCTTGGATAAGGGAATCTCTTTTATACAGTGTGCGCCGTATACTACTGTCATATGTTACCGTCTATATTTCTTTACTGGTTTTGTCTGTCTAGAGACTGTACTTAAATACTCTTCAATGGGATGAGGAAATATTTTTTTGTCGGCGGGAATGCGACCCGTTAGTTGGAAAATGTTAAATATTTATTTTCAAATGATTAATTTATTAACCGGAGAGATGCGCGAGTCCTCAGACTTAGAAACCATTTTTGTCATCTGATAATCGATTGTCTTGGTGTTTATTTATGTCTTCGCTACAAGCAATGTTTGTTTCCCAGTTCATATTCTGATATCCATTTTGACAAGCTCGTCAGGTAGATTACCCGCTGGTTTACCCTGCTTTTCTTGTCTTCAAAATGTCATGTGAGTGTCACAACTTCCAAGCCCTTTTTCCTCATTATGTGTCACAGGAATTTCTACACCCTCTTTTCTTATTCTAAGAGCAAGGAGTCTATTTGTTTCAATTTTCTTTAGAATTTCCTCGTTTCTCACATGTCCTGGTAATTGTTTCTCAGAATCGTTATGTAAAACCACCTCTCTTGTCGTTTCAAGTCACCTTTTCACCTATGACAGGATTATTCAACATTCACAGATATGTAAGAGGAATGGTTCTACATAGCATTTCAGCAATCTTTTCTTTGTTTCCAATTAAATTTTCCTGTTTCTTAATATTTTGTTTAGGTTTTTGGAAGGCATATTTCGCGATACATTTAATGATAAAAGCAACATTCTGGATCTAGTAAGTATATATATATATATATATATATATATATATATATATATATATATATATATATCAAAAATTAAGAGATTTAAACGAAAGGTTTTGGCCGTGTATAGCAGACAAACAAACTCTTCCAATTATACATATAGATTCTATTCATAAAGCTTGAATCGAAGGCAAAACGAGACAATGGCGATACTCACGCATGCGCAGTTATGCACATTTAATGAATGAATTAAATGTATTAAATGAAGCTACTTTATTTTATTTTATTTTTTCTATTTTAGATAATTAATTCAATTCCTGGCTTTCTTTCTGTCTTATTTTTCTCGTTTCTTCTGCCTCCGTTTTTCTGCCACCCGCAATGCAAAATGACTGCTTATTTTATTCAATTAATAATACGATTCTTTCAATGGCTTTGTATTTCTTAAGTTGTGAGCTCAGTAGTTTCATTTGCTTTTTTTTGTGCCTTTGTATTTTGTGTGTTTGTTAATTTGCTTGCTATTTCGATGATACATCCATTCTAATGATTACTAATGTACACATTATTTTTAAAATTCCGACATATTGTTTTTTTTTGTTTTTTTGTTTTGTTTTTTGTTGGTTTTTTTTGTCATATATTTATTTCTTTCTGTGATTAAGTTTGATTCTATTCCATTCCGAATCATTACTGTTCTTGTTACTCTTTCTTTTTCTGTCATCGCCTCTCTTTTTCTTACACATTATCTTTCACTAACGTTTCTCGTATCTCTCTTTTTCCAATTTCGTAATCCGTACGATTCGCTATTTCGTGTTTTTCATCAACCTTTCTTTTATTCATATTCCTTCTCTCTCACGATCAGCTTTAATTTTTTTTCCTTCCTTTTTTTATTTCTTTATTTCCTTTCTTTCTGATTTACTTTTCTCTTTTGCCTGCTCTTCACTTCTCTTCCCCACTCAGTTTTCTTCTTTGTTTTTTTTTTCTTTTTCACAGCCTCCTCCTCCTCCTTTCTTTTTCTGTCTTTCGATGACATCTTTTCTTTCAATCTTCTTATTCGTTATCTCTACTTATTCTTTTTTTACTCGTATTTTTTTTTAATTATTTTTATTCAGAATTCTTATTTCGCCTTCCATTCTTTTTTTATGCTTCTTCGTTCTTTTCTCCTTCATATACCCTTTCCTTCTTTGTCATCCATTGCTCGGCTTCTTCCTGTTATTTTTCTCATTCCTCTCCCAATATTAAGTACCTCCACTTTTCCGCGGGAAAACAACATAGCGTAATGAAAAATGTCACAAATTTAATAAAAATAATGTTTTATCGTCAAAATGTTTATGTTATTATTAAGACAAAAGACCAATGTATTTTTTGATTATTTTTTTTTTAATTTTTTAATCCTTTCTAACACGTTCGAATTTTGGTTAAAATCTTGTTTTGTTTACGTCATTGATTTTTGGCGATTTTTTCCGTTGAAAACACATTGATTTGGAAATTCTTGTAAAAAACAAATAATTGTCCGATTTTAATGAAATTTTCAGGAGTTATTCACAAATGAATGAAATTATGTTTTAAATGTTTTACTTACTGGAAATTTAATTCTTTGGGTTTCAGTTAAAGCTAAAATGAAATCTTCAAGAATACTTTTTCATTTTTAAAAATTCATTTTATACCTTAGGTATCGAAAATTTATGCCGAAAAAGGGGAGGTACCTACCTTTTTAAAACGTTCTTCCTTGTGTTTTGATTATCCGTATTCATTGTATCTTTTCATTCTTTTATTCCTATCTATCATTTGCTCGTCAGGCTTTCAGTCATTTTTCTTTCTTTCTTTCTTTCTTTCTTTCTTTCGTTCTTTCTTTCTTTTTTCAAAAGTCGTTTTTGCTTTCTTAATTTATTAGATTTTACTTTTTTCGTTTTTTTCTTTCGTTCTTTCTTTCTTTTCTTCTTTCCTTCTTTTTTTTTCGGTCTTCCTTACCTTTTGCATTTTCATTCTTTCGTTCTTTCTTTATTTCTTTCGTTTTAGTTCTTTCTTTCATTTTGCCTCATTCCATTGTAAAGATTCTACCTTAAAATATTCTTATCATTTTATTCTGCTTCTTTTTTTATTTTTATTTCATATCTTTCATTATAACTAACTTTGAAAAATCTGCTTTGAATCGTAAAATAAAAAATGCAATAAAACTGAGGCATTACTTAATTAGAAAAGCTTTTAATTCCTTTTATAAATAAGATTTATTATGGGTACTATTTTCTTAAGAAAATAATTTTTCGGTAGATAATGAATTTTTACAAGAATTTTAATTAGAATAATGTATAAAGTTTTAAACCTTTTAAGTTTCTGTATTAACTTTGTGTTTTTGAAGTGATACTATTATTAAATAAAAACGATATTTACTAATCATAAATGGAAAATCTTTCTACAATTAATTGAACACCAATATTTTAAAAAGAATTTTGAATTTTTTTATGTGTATAAACTTACCGATTTTTATAGATACACGGCATTATCAAAAACGATTAGTAAATTTAAAAGTTCAAGTATATACAATTCAATACGGTATTAAATTACAGAGAATATTTTCCTAAATTTTCAAGATTACTGAGTACTTAAAATTTATATAAAAGGCGCTCACGTTATATTCGTTAACTATTCCTCAACTATATATATATATATATATATATATATATATATATATATATATATTTAGTGATATTTTAGTGATATATTAAGTGATATTTATTTCAAGTCAGATTAATAAAACTTTAAATCAGCTAATACTCCTCAAATAAAGTTTCAGAAATGAACATTTTATTTTTGGAAGAATTTTTTAATAAAGAGAATAACATTCTGATGAAAGATGGTTAAAAATGACGCTAAAACCAGCAATTTCAGAGCGAAAACTCTTTCCCGTCAATTTAAATTAGGTTTTAAATACAGCAAAGTGTTTTGCTCATTGAAAATATTCAATGTAATCTATTAACTTGAAATTAAAAGTAAAATAAAAGCTTCAAGAAAGATTTTCATATTAAAAAAAGCATTTTAGTAAGGAATCGGAGAATCAAGTTCAAATTCCAGTTGGGTTCGTTACTTACGCGCAAATACCCTTGGAAAATATATGAATTAATACCTTTGGAAAAGTTATGAATCAATACCCTTGGAAAAGGTATGAATCAATACCCTTCGATATGTAAAAAACAATACCTCTGGGAACGTTATGAATCAATACTCTTGAAAAAGGTATGAATCCATACCTTTGGAAAGGTATAAATCAATACCCTCAGAAAAGCTATGAATAAATACTCTTGGAAAATGTATGAATCAATACCCTTGGAAAAGGTATGAATCAATACCCTTTGAAATGTAAAAAAAACAATACCTCTGGGAACGTTATGAATCAATAATCTTGAAAAAGGTATGAATCCATACCCGTGGAAAGATATAAATCAGTACCCTTAGAAAAGCTATGAATAAATACTCTTGGAAAAGGTATGCATCAATACCCTTGGAAAATGTATGAATCAATACCCTTTGAAATGTAAAAAAAACAATACCTCTGGGAACGTTATGAATCAATACTCTTGAAAAAGGTATGAATCCATACCCGTGGAAAGATATAAATCAATACCCTTAGAAAAGCTATGAATAAATACTCTTGGAAAAGGTATGAATCAATACCCTTGGAAAGGGTATGAATCAATACCCTTTGAAATGTAAAAAACAATACCTCTGGGAACGTTATGAATCAATACTCTTGAAAAAGGTATGAATCCATACCCTTGGGAAGGTATAAATCAATACCCTTAGAAAAGCTATGAATAAATACTCTTGGAAAAGGTATGAATCAATCTTTGAAATATAGGAAAAATTATTGTTATCTTCAAAAAATGGTTAACGCAATATTCACTTGCATAAAAATATATTATTCTTATAATCCAAATTGCGTTTTGGTTAGAACCAGTTTTTGTTAGAAACAGTCCACGGTGAGTGATTAGACCAACACGAAAACAGAACACTTTTCAGCAAGTAGGATATTTTAACTGACCTTGCTTGGCACTAACGACAGGATTCTTCAGATGATGTATTTGACTGTAGTCCACTACGTGAGACGTTCACACAGGCACGTTGCCAAATGGTCTGATCACCAGGATAGGGAAAGAACTGGTTTCTAAAATTCCAAACAGACAAAACCAAAATAGTAACGCCCCGACCATCACCGAGCAAAATTTATCATGATCAATGGACTTCTCTCAAAGAGGCTACTTGTCTTGAACGTATTTTGTGACTAAATCTCTCTCTAGATCTCAATTTCATATTTCTACGCGGCCTTTTGAGTGATTAATTCTTTTCCAACCGACACACCCTTTCCTATAGACGAAACATTTAATAAAGAAACAAACACAGAGAACTGTTTCAGTAATGAAAAGAAATGAGATTTATAAAAAGTCATCTGCACCTTACTTAGTCAGTCGATCCCAATGTGGGAGGACATTTTCAAAGTTAAAGAACATAAAGACAAGATTAAGAAATTCGCTGTCTGAAGAGAATTTAGAATCATACATAGTGCTACCCATTGAAAAACGAATTGTAAAATGGATGCAAAAGCAATAATAGGCAGATTCGAGCTACCATTTAATGAACACAAACGATTACATTATAAAATAGAAGACGGCATGCAATGCTCTGTTGTGCTTTTAAACTATCTGTTAATATGTAAATTGTGGAATAAACTATTTAGAAATATCAAGCAATTACTTAAAATTAAATAATTTTGTATTTAAATTTCGTATTTACCGTCAGTAATATGTACAGTACATGTATACTGTAATTACTAATTGCCGACGATGTAACTGTAGTTGGTAATGGAGATTTTTTTCACCAAAAAATGTAAATATACCGTTGAAATTGTTTATTTATTCGTTATGAAAGTTGAATTCACACTCACTCGGGTAGACTGTTCTAGTTACACGTGCCATGTTTTAATGAATGTCAGCTATCAGCCATCTCCTTTTAATTCCCCTCTCCAATTTCTCCACTGCCTTAAGCAGGTATTGAACTCACACACTTTGGGGTCCTGTCACTGGATCTAACTAACGTCTTTAACAAGAGATAACTGACAACTGACATCCATTAAAACATGGAACGTGGAACTAAATCAGTCTACCCCAGTGGGCGAAATAAAGGGTTCAGTTCGAAATTCCAACGACCTGAAAAAGGCCGGAGCGTACAACGGCCGAAAAATTGTAATAAATATGGCAACAAAGATGAGGGCAATAGTCCGAATAATGTAATTAGTGCAACATAATACCTCATCTCAGAAATATAGACAGACTAGCAGCACGGCCCGGCGTTGCCCGTGCTTGATTCAAAAATCGTACGACTCATACAGCAATCGCTATCACTTGACTTAAAATATTTTTTGACCTTCCTTGCCTTTAAAAGGAGTGCCCTTTGCCGTGCTGATGTTGCTACATGCCTTACTTCTTGCCTATCTTACACTGCGAATTTTTCTAAGCTCTATACTAAACATTAAATCTGTTACGAAAAAAAGAACTAAACAAAATGAACACAAAACGATCGGCTTTAAAAAAAGACTCGTAACTGGAAAAACCGAATGAAAAAGAATATTAACAACAAATACTTTTTCACACCCAACCCAGTTCTGCGGAATCAGAATCAACGTTGAGTTTAAGCAAGCGAATGAGCCAATTGGAGTAAAAAGTACCATGCAGATTTAAATTTTTCCCACTTGTGACGAATGCAGCTATCGATTTTTTTGCATGCTAGCATGCTAGTTAACATTCGTGTCAGTCAACTGTTGGCTCTCACGCTGGCCAATAGAATCTTCCTGCCTATTCGTGACAGCCAGCTACAGGCTCTCACTCTAGCCAGTAGAAAATGGCAGCAAACTACAGGAAAACTGCCGTAGAAGCATGAAAAAATCGATTATTTCCACTATCGATGGGAGTTGGGAAATGCAACGTCGGTCTTGACCTTTCCACTAACTTGGAGCATGTGCATGTAAATTTTGGTGCAAATCCGTCGAAAATTGCGTCCGTGCATTTGTTACACACACACACACACACACACACACACACACACACACACACACACACACACACACACACATCCTGCCTTTTATAGATAGAGATACTGAATGTTGAATTATAGCATTATAGTTGTAAGTGGGCCCTATTTGTCTCCTGGTAACCAATATTTTAGATCAAGTCCGCCACTGATCTCGCAAGTTGTAAATAGTGAGTTCAGTTCTTACAGTTTTTCCCTTGCTTGTGGTTTTCGACTAAAAATATGTTTGCATAATGATTTGCTTCAATAAATACTATTACGTGAAAATAACATTGGACGACCAAGACTGTATACATTGGATTAAAAAGCTTACTAGTTAGATTTTGTACCTATATCAGTAATATGTAACAGTAATAAGATGGAGTAAAACTAGCAAACAAAATAATAGTGAAAATGCTTAATCTAAAAACAAAAAAAATTTGTCTTCTATCATAAATCCTGAAAGAACGAAGACGAATTTAACGCCCTTTCGATTCCTACAAGGAATTTTGTTATCCCTGAAAGAGCCAAATTGCAACAAATAATTGCTGCCTATGGACAGGTCGAAATGGCTCCAGGCCCATGTTTTTCGCCGTAAGGCAGATCTGTTGGCTATCTCTTTTCTACCCAGGAAGTAGCTGGACATCAGCCGAAGGGTCTACGGACCAACAACGTATTCTCTTGTTTCAACCTTATTAAATCCTTGTTTACACTTGTTCTTAGATTCTTTGCCAGGCATGTATAGGCCGTAGAAAGATAGAGAAAAAAAGAGGTGGGCACAAGTATCTACATTTTTTTTTTGTTTCCTTTTTTTGTTTTGGCCAATGGCTGAAT